GGTCACCACCCTGACCCAAACCTTCCCTGATTTTGAACCAGCAGCCAGAAATCAAAAGGCGAGTTGCATTTGGAAAGTCTACATGGACTCGGTGACAGAAATAGAGCTGGAGAGAGGATGATTGAATTTTTTTTTATTTAGTGGGTTTTTGTTTGTTTGTTTGTTTTTTAGGATGATTGAACTTTGCACAATCAATGACTTATTCATTGCAAATACGTTTTTTAAGAGACATAAACACGGTATTTTCTATGTGGGTTCCCGGGCCCCATAGAGGCGCGTCAAGAGGTGAGGAAAGTATGGCGGCCCTGGAACCTGGGTAGCGCGAGAGGTTAAAAGCCTTGTTTTAAAAAGAGCTAATATAAGAAAAAGACAAAGATTCTCACCACCGAGCCTTTTGGCAGCACCTTGATTTGTGACCTAGAAGGAAATCTTGGATTTCATCTGTGCTCAGGCTTCTGGTCAGAACCCAGCTTCATGTCTGCGTGCACGAGCAGCAGTTTGCCATGGAGAGCTTGGGGTTGCAGGCGGTGACGCTCAGTGATGGGACGACAACCTACATCCAGCAAACCATCAAAGGAGAGAAGCTACTTGAAGGACAAGTGATCCAGCTTGAAGATGGAACCACTGCATACATTCACCAAGTGACAGTACAGAAAGAATCTCTCTCCTTTGAAGATGGACAGCCTGTGCAGCTGGAAGATGGCACCATGGCCTACATTCACCGCCCTGTGGCTGTACCATCGGACAGCACCATCCTGGCCATGCAGGCAGAGGTGGGCTTAGAGGACCTGGGCACAGAGGATGATGAGGGCTTCAGTGCAGACACGGTGGTGGCCCTGGAGCAATATGCCAGCAAGGTTCTGCACGATGGCCAGGCTCCTCAAAATGGCAAAGGACAGCAGGTTGGGGACAGAGCGTTCCGCTGTGGCTACAAGGGCTGTGGACGTCTCTACACCACTGCTCATCAATTAAAGGTGCATGAACGAGCTCATACGGGTGACCGCCCGTACAGGTGTGACTTCCCCAGCTGCGGGAAGGCCTTTGCTACAGGCTATGGACTGAAGAGCCACGTGCATACCCACACTGGTGAGAAGCCATGCAAGTGCCCAGAGGTGCTGTGCAGCAAGGCCTTCAAGACCTCAGGAGACCTAAAGAAGCACGTCCGCACCCACACCGGTGAACGCCCATTCCGGTGTCCTTTTGAGGGCTGTGGCCGCTCCTTCACCACCTCTAATATCCGCAAGGTACATGTGCGTACCCACACGGGGGAGCGCCCCTACACCTGCCCTGAGCCCCATTGTGGCC